TTGCCGTTCCCAAAATGCGCATATGCACATTAATAAAACGCGCAACTCTTATAACTTCGGTAATCACTTACTTACTCCCACATCTGCACACGTTCTATGTATATTGTATTGCACATTGTACATACAGAACTGTTTTTTTAAATGATCTCCCAAACGCAACAACGTAGTTGTCAATACTGTGCTTGCACATTGGATAAATGCTAATGAAGACGTAACTTACAGCAATCACTGCAGTCTGCATTTTAGGCACACAAAATATGATTTAAAGCTTTCGTGACTGCAGGGATTCATATTCTTGGTTCTTTCTTTGCTGTGGTTTTCGCACCTGATGATGATTGCTTGTGTTGCAGTCGAAACGTCGTAAGAATTTAATTGTTTTATATTTGTATTATTTTATTATTTCCCTTCTACGTGACTTTACCGAAAGAACCAAGAATACACAAAATATGCTTTATAGTATACACATGCAATTAAAAGATTTTAATTCCAATTCCTCACTATATTTGCAAAAGGTAACAACTCACCCCCAGTGACCAGAAATTAACCTTTAGAGTCAAATAAAATGCGCGAGTAAAAAGTATTCAGTTTAATTTTCCTTTTATCTCTGCCCTTCATGAAATATCTCAGCTTCGGAGCATCATTAAACCAATGCACATACCAATAACGCGCCTGTACAACTGTGAAGAGACGGCCAGATTCCACAACTGGTATATTTGGACTTGTTCCTAAAATTACAAATAGTCTGCACATGCATTATTGTTAGCCAGCTTAGAATAATGTTTCCATCGGCATCACGTCATTGGCACATGCAGTCTGTTGCCGCCTGCAGTAAAGTTCTAGCGGCCAGTTTCACACTGCAGCGACTGAGAGAGGGCAACACGTCGCGTCACAGCAATACAACCGCGTCATTCACACCGAAAGCCGCTCAAATATGCGGTGCAACTTCCACCAGCCAGAGGAGAGTCAGAGCTGGGATAATAACTGTTGTTGGTCATGCATTTAGGACAAATGGTGCGATGATAGACAAAAAAAACACAAGACTGGTCAAACTTGAAATGTAAAAAGCAACAATTTACATTTTAACCCAAGCGGGAATGCTATCGGGGGATCTTGGGAAGGTCGTGTTCCCCAAATGAACAGCACTATCCATATGCGTGCCGCCCCCACCTATTCAGGATCGCTGGCAAGGCACTTAATATTTAATTGAAGAGGTCCTTGAGGATGCCACATCTCACAATAACTTCCTTACTTTTGCCTCATCCTACGACAACACTTGTACTCAACACCTGACCTCCAAGCTTTTTGCGTTTAGCTTGTTGTCCTTCCCCTGGCACCTCCGATTAGCACGCTTGGCTATGTACGGAGAAGTTCACCACACGTACATACAGCTTCGGCTGTTGGTGTGTCCCACAAAGGAGTTTTACGTTGAGGGTGTCAATAAAGGTGGTGACCTACACGATGGCCCCGGTTCTCCGGGTTATAGAATCGCCACTCGCAGACAAGCTCTTGCAACAGTCGTGGCAATTGTTGACAGCAGAATGTCAACAGAGCAAACACGCAGCAGGGGAAATTACTTCCTCTAAAAATCCTGCACTGCAATAATTCCACGCACGAGCGGCATTGCTACATCATTACCGCCTCTATGTACCCTCAAAAAGGCGACACAATCTGCACACTGACACACTCGCCATTACGATGCCACTCACCATTAGCTTCTTTAGCGCCACAAATCGGCTTTCCCATTCTCTCAGCACGGGAATAACAACCATTGCTGGAAGTCGAACGCAGAAGGCACGTATTCGCACTCTGCCGACAACACGAGCGCAAGCGGTTTCACAAAAACGGTGGCGGGGGACTGAGCCGGGGCTCACCATCCCCTACAGCACCCACGGCATGGAGAGAAGGGGGGGCAGCAGCAATGATCTGATCAATGACTGCGGGAGGAGACCGCCGCGGCCTGCAGTGGCGCGTGAAGCCTCAAGGGAGTAGCTACCGTGGGAGCCGTGCCCGGAAAACACACACACGCTAACACACACACACGCTAACACACACACACGCTAACACACACACACGCTAACACACACACACGCTAACACACACACACACTAACACACACACGCTAACACACACACACACGCTAACACACACACACACGCTAACACACACACACACGCTAACACACACACACACGCTAACACACACACACGCTAACACACACACACACGCTAACACACACACACGCTAACACACACACACGCTAACACACACACACGCTAACACACACACGCAAAAACAAAGACCCCCCCCCCCGTATAGACTAAACAGACTGTCGGGGCAAGCGGTGTTAGCGAGCACCTATGAAGGCCGGGACGGCACACGAGGGGGTGGGTGGCCAACACCACGCCCGGCCGCTTTTGTCTCCCCAGTGGCGATGTTTACACATCGCAACAGGTACTCATTTTTGGCTGAGTCGACCAAGGGGAGGCCCATGTCCGGTTCAGATAATCGTCACTGGCGTTGGCCATGTGCAGTAATCGAACTTGGGTCGCCAGGTTCATTGCGTAGCTCGCTAACCGCTACACTACCGCTCCAGCACCACACACCCACACACACATGAACACACATTCATGCACACTGACGCTCACACCTATAAGTGTTCATAGTCACATTATATTTATCTTTGCATTCAATAGTCCACACACTATTTATTGTACATAAAGGCTCATTAAGGCATACCTACATACATGCGAACAAACAAGAACATTTAAAACATAAAGAAACAGAGACCCACAATTCCAGCGAGAGTTTGTATCTCTTGACAACGAGCAGCGCTAATGAAACAATTTAGAGAGTTAAGCCAGACATGTCATCCGTTTTACAAATAAACACCAGGAAGGGATTTTTGCGAGATAGGAATATACACAGATACATATACTGTACACAAACACTTACACACATAGACCCCTACATAATCTTAAAGATTGTTGTAGCAAGTGGTTATCAGCACCTAATTGGCACAGGTTCACAGAACCCACAAAAACACTCTCCACACAAATGGCATGTACACACAGATGGCACAGACATCTTTATCACATCCTAAACTATTAACTATTTTTCATTTTACCAGGTAAGGCCCATTGATTTATATAGCTCCTATTCAGAAGCGACCTGGCCACAAATGAAAGCTAAACAAAGTGGCGTATCATGTAGAAATTTATAGCAGCCAAATACTCTCAACTCAAGTTGAGTCCAAATGTGGACGGAGAAACCGGAGGATCCAGAGAAAACTGCATGCGACCACAGGGAGCGAGACATGCAAACTCCAAATATACAAGGTCGGGATCGAACACACGACTTCCTGCATACCAGGCGGCGGAATGAACATCTCGCCACTCATACAAACTCCTCCAACATATAAACTCACTCACATATAGTCTCACCTACAAATAACCTAACACGCACACATGAGCACACCCCCAACACACGTACACCACACTCAACAAAACTCAATGTATATGTATAAGCCCGCACAAACACAATACCCATTCGCACACACACTTTCACATGCATACTCATGACACGTACACCGTCTAACAAATCCCTAAGCTTTCCAGTTATCACACACTACCTACACCAGACAAAATACATACAAGCTCACCTCTACCCATACACACACAAATATGCACAAACATACATATTACCTCCCACGTAAATAAACGAATACAGAAACAAGGCCACTTAGACAAAAAACCCCACACGCATGTACGTACACACGCATGAGGCCTCGACACACAGTAGTAGTACCCCGGCACATACACACACACATGTTTACACACACACACAGTCACGCATACAGTCGGTACAAAGACAAAGATCCCCCGTATAGCCGGAACAGACTGTTGGGGCAAGTGCTTAAGCGAGCACTTATAAAGGCCGGCACCGCACACGGAAGGGGTGGGGTGGCCTGGACCACGCTCGGCCGCCTTTGTCTCCCTAATGGCGATGTTTACACACCACACTGGGGACTCATCTGAGACCGAGTCGACCTAGGGGAGGCCCAGGACCGGTTCAGATAATCGTCACCGGTGTTGGCCGTGAGCACACAACCCACAAATCGAACTCTGGTCGCCGGGCGCGCTAACCCCTACACTACCGCTCCCCAGTCACTCCAACAGTAACACACCCACTTTCACACACCAACATAATACACTCACAGTACTGTACGCACATTATCACACACATATAGTACACACTCAGATTAGACAGACAAATACAGTACATCTAAACGAAGTCTACACGCATACAGTATATACACATACAGTACGTAATGCAGTAACACACAGGGCACGCCTAAGTACACACTCAAAGCATACGTACAGCGCAAACTTAAAACAGTAAAACGTTCTAAAATTGTTACTATACCGTACCGAGTACAAACACGCATACAACACACGTAAATAATGTACAAAGAAACTGCACGTGTACAGTGGACAAAGAAAACAAACAAGGTACAGTATACGCTAACCATACAGTACACAACACACACAAAAACAGCCGTACAGTATCCATAAATATAGCACAGCACACACACACACGAGAGAGACACACACAGACACAACACACACACAACAAAGACACGCACGGCCCACACACGGCTCGCACACCGCGTGTACAGTCTCCGCACGCTGCATGCCTTGCACGCCGCCGCCATTACAGCCGCTCACGCCGCCTCGGCCTCTCTCGACCCCCCCCCCAACGCGCGCGCCTTCTGCCCAAACAACCCTCGGGGGAGTGGGGGGGAGGTCAGCATTAGCTTACCAGCGGCACCATCACAGCAAGTGCAACAATTAAAAAAAACAACCCCACCTCGCCCGACGGCTAAACAACCGATAACGCGGCCACGCGCAGACACGCGAAGCCCGCGCCGCCGACGTTCAAGATATGATGATGGTGGGGCCCAACAGTGACGGAGACCTGGGGCCCCCACTCACTCAACTCACCTTCCATCTCCATCTCCTCGGGTTCGCTGAGCTGCTGCTGCTGCTCATGCTGCTGCTGCTCGAGCTTGACGCAGTTGTTCATCCTCTTCCTTGGCGCCAGGGAGGAGGGGGACGCGTGCCTGGAGGGGACGGACACTCGTACGTACTTGCTCGCTATTCGCCCAATGTCTGCGCGCGGGTCTCGGGCCCCGTTTCTCGCAAAGCGGGGGTGGAGGGATCGCGGGTGGCGTTCGTACGTGCCGCTAACAAACGCAATGGAGGTGTACGCCTTGCTTGTTCGCTGTGGCGATGGTGGCTGCTGTAGCTGAGGGAACGCGGAGCGAGTGATGGGACGCCGCCTCTGCCCCCACTCCTCCTCGCCGCTGTCATAGGCGGCGTTGACAAAATGGCGGCGGCGCGCTCATTGGATTTCCCACTGCGCATAGGCGGCGGCGGAAAACGCTTTATATTTCCTATTGCGGATAGGGCGACGAGGCCTCACATTCCATACAGCCGATAGGCGGCTTGCTGCTACATTCCTGACAGCCGATAGGCGGCGTAGCTCTACATCCCCTACAGAGGATAGGCGGCGTGGTTCTACATTCCCTACAACGGATAGGCGGCGTGCTGCTGCATTCCCAACAGCCGATAGGCGGCGTAGCTCTACATTCCCTACAGAGGATAGGCGGCGTGCTTCTACATTCCCTATAGCGGATAGGCGGCGTGCTGCTACATTCCCTACATCATATAAGCGGCGTGCTTCTACATTCCCTACAGCGGATAGGCGCGTGGATTTTTTTCTTCTCGTGGTTGTGCGGGTTTTCACCTCTACGTTTAGAAACATGCATTGAGATATAGATTATTTTGTTGCTGTGGATTTCCAAATAATAAGTCACTTCGTTGAGCTATCATTTGTAGCAGTTCGCTACTGAAAAAATAAGTCAGTGGGCATTACCCGGTAAGATGAAAAATAGTAAAGTTGTATTTATATAGTATATGTTTAAATGATTTGTTTACCTTTCCAAAATGTTGCATTCATATCGTGTTGTTCTAACGTCAGAACCTCCAGGATAAATACAGTACAGATTTTTACTTAAAGCTTCTGTGACTGCAGGAATTTATATTATTCGGTCTTTCTGTAAAGTCACGTAAGATAGGTTCAAAGAAAATAACAAAAAACTACGTTTCGATCGCAACACAAGCACTCGTCATCAGATGACGATTGCTTGTGTTGCAGTCGAAACGTCGTAGTTTTTTGTTATTTTCTTTGAACCTATCTACGTGACTTTACCGAAGGACCCAAGAATACAGTACAGATTCCCTACATCGGATAGGCGACGTAGCTCTGCATTCCCTACATCAGATAAGCGACGTAGCTCTGCATTCCCTACATCGCATAGGGCGACGCAGCTCTGCATTCCCTACATCGGATAGGCGACGAAGCTCTGCATTACCTACATCGGATAGGCGACGTAGCTCTGCATTCCCTACATCGCGGATAGGGCGACGTAGCTCTGCATTCTCTACATCGGATAGGCGACGTAGCTCTGCATTCCTTACATCGGATAGGCGACGTAGCTCTACATTCCCTACATCGGATAGGCGATGTAGCTCTACATTCCCTACATCGGATAGGGCGGCGTAGTTCTGCACTCCCTACATCGGATAGGGCGACGTAGTTCTGCATTCCCTACATCGGATAGGGCGATGTAGCTCTGCATTCCCTACATCGGATAGAGCGACGTAGCTCTGCATTCTCTACATCAGATACAGCGACGTAGTTCTACATTCCCTACATCGGATAGGCGACGTAGCTCTACATTCCCTACATCAGATAGGGCGACGTAGCTCTACATTTCATACAGCGGGTTCTAAACGGGCACGACACGGGATGGGGAGGAGATGGACTGAACCGGTACGTGAGGATGTGGAGCTGAGTGGACTTGCTGAAGACTTAGTACCAGCGGTGGTCAAGATCGGCCTCTGTGGAGGAGGCTCGTGAAGGACGCTGAAGCTGCTGGGTAGTTGGAGGCAGTCGCGCTCCAACAACGGAGGGCGGAGGAGCGACGCTCACAACGAGCGGAGCGCCGGGCGACTAAAACGCAGCAGGTTGGCACAGTAGTGGGGGGGTACAGCTGGTGGTGCATCTGCCAGTCATCTCAGTCAGTCAGCCAAGCCATGGCACCCCCTGAGCCTGTTTCATAGCCTCCTGTCAGCGAGCCTTCGACACTTCACGTGGCCTCAAGGTGCACCTAGCCTGGCACCGGCGCCGCGGTGACATCACCGCCACTTAGTGGCGAGTTGGCGGCTGTTGATGTTTGGTTTATCAGCGTCTCGTCAAAAATAAGACGTGTGGGTCTTCTTTAATTCTTTCTTACGGCTTGATGGTAGACGCAGAGCAACGACTACAATTCCACATTTCAGTGTGGTCAAGCTTCAGACAGCCGCGTGAGGAGCAGTAGCGGAGTGATGTAGCGTCGCTGTGATGTCGCCTTCGTATGTGTGGACCGCAGGGGCATTGCGTCGTTTAATGTTGATGTCACGGTCAGTTCTGGATGACCAAGAACATGGTCAGTGGTCTACTAAGCTCCTTAAAAACACAAAGATTCCACGAACTTTATCTCTCTATCTCTCTAGGAGCGTTCGCGTCGTGGCGAACACAAGTCGGTGTTTAGCTGCTGAACGGATTGCTGCCATACGCATTAAAATAACACTATGTAATAACACGATTTTTGTCCCTGGGTAGTAAGTGTTTTTTGTTTATTGTTTATGCCTAAAAAAAAGTATGCAAAATTTATATTATTCTCCGCAAACTTAGTTTTTTGTCACCAGGACTTTATGTGAAGGAATGACACAAATGCACACCACGTTTTCTCATTGAAAATAGGTAAATTTCAAAATATCACTGTCCTGGTCACAAAAGCAAAGTTTGTGGGGAATAGCCACTTTTTGTACTTTTGAGGCGTAAGCAATTAGGAAATAACACTACCCAGGAACACAAAATAATTACATTTGTTACACAGTGTTATTAATGTGGATTATTAACTTTGCTTTTGTGTCCTGGTCACAAAAGCAAAGTTTGTGGGGAATAATAACCAATTTCTGTACTTTTGAGGCATAAGCAATTAAAAAAAGAACACTACCCAGGAACAATATTTTTGTTACACAGTGTAATATAATGCAGATTGATTCCTCCACCGCATCCATTATATGCTGAGGGCCAGGTCGACTCGACTGGGTTGGCTCTCTCCCACACACAAACACCGTGTGGACTCACCACTCTTCAGGCAGGCCACAACAACAACTCATTCGCCCACTCACAACAACACTGCAAGTCACAACATTGCACTCACCCACTCAATCACCCACTCACCACACTGCAGGTCACAACATCGATCTCACCCACTCACCACACTGCAGGTCACAACATTTCACTCACCCACTCACCACACTGCAGGTCACAACATTTCACTCATCCACTCACTACACTACAGGTCACAACATTTCACTCACCCACTCACCACACTGCAGGTCACAACATCGATCTCACCCACTCACCACACTGCAGGTCACAACATTTCACTCAACCACTCACCACACTGCAGGTCACAACATCGATCTCACCCACTCACCACGCTGCAGGTCACAACATTTCACTCATCCACTCACCCATTCACCACACTGCAGGTCACACATTTATTAATGTCCGGCACTGCTCCTCCACTTTGGAATTCCCTTCCATCTTTTATTTTCTCAATCTCTTATCAATAATAATGATAAACAACTTTAGTCAGTTTACAAAAGTTTTTTTTCTATCTTCGACTCCAACTTGAAGAGAGTGCTCTTTATGTCTGTTTGACGTTTTGGGCCCAGGCCACTGCAGAGGCCTCTCGCTCCGCCCTCAAAGCTGATTGTTTTGCCACTGTGATTAACTCAACCAATAATATATATCTATTGTAATTTATATGGAATACATTAACCCACCCTCTGGCCTTCGCACCTGGCTCACAGTGACGATATCACATGTATTCCTCTATTTAAAACTGAAACAGGAGGAGGATTTCCCCAAAACGCTGGCTGTCACCTGATGATGCTAGTTGTAATTACCGGCGAAACATCACGATACTCGAATTGTAAATGTGGGATTACTCTCCTACACATCGGTGTGCTGTACTGGTAACGAATTTGTATGTTTTGTTTAAGTGACAAACATTACTAATTGGCTGTCGGGTGGTGGCGGGTTTAACGACACATTTACGTTCACGCGATCTTACCCATAAAAACCTCATGCATAATATGTCGTGAAAGCCAGGCTGTTAAACTGTTTTGCTGCTGTTACCACTCTAGGGTTTACTGCTATGTGTAGCTTTACTCTCCTAACGTTAAAATGTATATTCATTTGTTTTATGTGTCGCGACATGTTTAAAGGACGCGTATTTGTCTCTCCCAATCTAAATCAAAACATGATGAAAACTACCATAAATTATTTAGCATACATCCACTTGTAATTGATTTTGACAAGGCGTCCGTGTTTCTTTACATATTTTAGTGCTGTAGTCACCCTATGTCTGTTTAATGTTTATTATGTTCCTGTAGGTTTGTTTTGGTAATTTGCGCTGTCTTCAATCTGGAGATCATCTGTCAAGAGCTGATCTGCGCCGCAGAGAATGCTTCCAAAACATCATTTTTAATTCCTCGTGAGATGCAGCTGTGTTTTTATTGTATTTGTGATTGTTATATTTTGCATGTTACAAAATAAACTGGAAGTTTGTGTGTTTATGTTTTATTTTGTTACTGATATATTCGACACAACGCTAATAGTTGTTTTGTGTTAGTGAGGGAAAAAAGTATTTGATCCCCTGCTGATTTTGTACATTTGCCCACTGACAAAGAAACGATCAGTCTATAATTTTAATGGTAGGTTTATTTGAACAGTAAGAGACAGAATAACAAAAAAATCCAGATAAACGCATGTCAAAAATGTTATAAATTGATTTGCATTTTAATGAGGGAAATAAGTATTTGACCCCCTCTCAATCAGAAAGATTTCTGGCTCTCAGATGTCTTTTATACAGCTAACGAGCTGAGATTAGGAGCACTCTTAAAGGGAGTGCTCCTAATCTCAGCTTCTTACCTGTGTAGTGTTGTAAGGACGAGCAGACTTCTTAGGAGGCACACTCTGTTTATTGTATTATTTCCTTATACAATGCTTAACACACACAGAGGGATATATGGGCCCCTCACCCGATACCCTAGGGAGGTACAGCCTCCGGACTTGGCGGGACTCGCACATCTACCGCTATCCTAGTCCTCCGGCTAGGACCTAGGGGAGGCTATCTGACCCACCGCTGGCCCGGTGGGTCCTGACCACTGGGTATGCCGAGCCTTAGCCCTTAGAAGGGCTGGAAGGCTGGTCCAGGGTCCT